GTATTCTGCAAGTACGGAATGCCCACGAAGATAATCTCCGACCGAGGACCCCAGTTCGTATCAGGGTTCATCAAGGAGTTCTACAAAGAACTAGGCATTACCAGAAACGCTAGCATGGCTTTCCACCCCCAAACAGATGGACAAACCGAACGGGTCAACCAGGAACTCGAAAAGTACTTGCGCATGTTTATCAATTACAGGCAAGACGACTGGGTAGACTGGCTCCCGATGGCAGCCTTCGCACACAATAATCGAGTCCATTCGGCTACAGGGTACTCCCCGTTCTTCGTAAATTACGGGCGAGAAGTAAAAGTCAGACCGGCAGAAAAACGAAGAGTACGCCCAGCAACGGAGGAATTCGTAAAAGAAATGGAAGAGGTACACGCCAAAGCAGCCGCCCAAATGGAGAAAGCCAATCAACAGATGAAAAAACAATACGACCGAAAGAACGAACAATCCCTTCAATATACAACCGGGGACCAAGTATGGTTAGAAACAACCAACTTACGAACCGAACGCCCCAAGAAAAAGTTGGAGGATAAACGAGTAGGACCGTTCACCATCATCGAAAAAATAGGCGCCTCCACATACCGATTAGAACTTCCACCCACGTGGAAAATCCATAACGTCTTCAACGAAGCACTCCTCACCCCTTTCCATCCCGCTCAATTCCCGAACCAAGAACTACCACCACGACCCCCACAAATACTTGTCGAAGGAAATCTGGAAGACGAAGTCGACCAAATCCTAAAAGCAGAAAAGAAGTGGGGACGTTGGTATTATTTCGTACACTACAAGGACTGCCCGAACGAGGAAAACGAATGGTTCAGAGATGACGAAATACCTCATTGCCAGGAACTTATTCAAGAATTCTGGGACTCTCACCCTAACTAGACAGTCGTCGAGACGACGACCTTAAGGGGGGGGTAATGTCACGTTTTCACCATTATCTTATCTAATCTAACCAACTCGACCTCACCAATACCGCAACGGTATCGTTCGGTAAAGGCTCGTATTACAACCTCACGAGTATACGCCTGTATTATCGTCATTCATTACCAGTTCGTGCAAGGCGCTCACTAAGACAGTCTAATTATAGCAACGTAGCCAGTAGTATATAAACCCATGTATTTAGGAGGGTAACCCTCAGCTCGGACTAAAGTCTAATACCACTAGTCTTAACTCAACTGCTCGCCGCTCTAATCCAAGGAATCTCTCTTCAATATCGGAGACTAGTAGCTTACACGGTGATTGTCCGAACGCGAGACAGCCGGGTTGGTCAACAGTCTTACAAGTTGAGTTGAGCCCTGACACAGTGTTGACAGACGAAAATAACATTCACCGACAGCCGTGTTGCGAAATTCACCAAATATGCCTCTCTTGTTAGTGACTCAAGCAACACTTTAAAAACGAATTAGCGCGCATTTCTCTACAGGACATTTGGGTGAATAAATTAAAACTTGGTCTCAGAGCGACACATCAGCCCTCCAACAGTGTGTACAAATCTGGGATGAGGCTACTTGGTCACGAACCTGGTTTGCGAAAGCGATCAGCACTGGGCGCTGCGATTAGACGGCGTCCATAGGCTTTAAGCAAGGCCACGACTATAGTAACGTGTAATACAATCAATGGCTACATGTACGTATGTCGTATGAGGCTAAGATAGGCGCGGAACGACTACATCACGTGACAAAGTGTGACATTTTGCGCGAAAATCAGTATTTCCCATGGGGCACTTGGAATATGACCTTATTTTAGAAACTGTTTCCTACAAATTATAGATATTACTGTTTAAAAACTTTTTTTGCAGACCGATTTTCTAAATAGGCCGTTTTGACGATGCCCCATGGGATTTACCCACTGAAATGGAAAAGGCGCGTCTACAACGCGCTCAGCAACAAAATACCTGGGATACCGTCTTATACCAGGGGACCATTCTTACAGACTTATATGAGGCTGATATACATTGAATATCAACTGTACAGTCATTCACCGGTCACTTAGACCCCAAAATTTGATTGATGGCTGGAATATTTTTTTTTTGCATAATGGGTAAAACTTTTTGTATCCAATGAATACTACTACAATCTATTGAGTTTGAAAAAAATTGCCAAAGCTATATATAGAGAAATGGTCGCTACAGAAGATGGGTTTGGTGATGGTCCAAAAAAGGCAATCCCGGTCATTTTAGACCCCAGTCCAAAATCAGGCCACATCATGTCTCTTCATATGTATCATCATTATTTAAGCTGCTATAGTTGTAGAACTGCTCTGGAAACTCACTTGGGGGTTTACTGGAGGTTGGAATATGTTTTTTATGGTTAGATACTGTTAACTTATTTGTATCATGTGATATATCCTAATAAGGAAATTTCTATTGATTGAAGTGAGAATGCCTCAGAACATGGTGAAACACTACATAAAACAAAGACTAAGGGTCAAGACAGTAATTATATATTATATCTTATTTTTAAGAATTTTTTAAAGCTTGGAAAATGAATGGAGGAAGAGGAGGAGCCAGGGTCTAAGATGACTGGGGGGGTCTAAGTGACCAGTGAATGACTGTATCAGAAATATGAGAGGGCAGAAGGATGACGTGTCAAGATTAATGAGCCCACTAATTATGGGTACCGACAACTGCCGGTTCCAAAACGTGAGCTGACTAAGCCTATTTTCGGCCATTTTGACGGCAAATCGACGTTAATTGCTTCAAATCTCACTGATGGATGCTCCTCTCTTTTCATAATGCTACATACAAGTTCAAGTATATAGTAGCACTATTCTTCCTAGAATAATATTAATTATCACTCTCATCCTGTCCCTTAATATCAACATCTATGATCTCTTCTTGGCACCTTTCAGCCCCTGTCTCTGCTTCTTCATTGTCAGCCTCAATTGCCAGATTCCCTGCAGCTCTAGTAACTTGGCTACAGCTGTCTGGAGATGTTTGTATCTATATTTTAGGTCACTTCTGTCTTTTGCACAGATGTAGCCTTTGCAATATCCAATCCTGAGCCATTTTTACAATTCTTTATATGCTAGTCTAACTGAAAATTCAATTTTGCTACTGTGAGGTATCTTTTTGCACCATGCTGTACTTGGTATACTTCCTCAAGTATTTCGGAAGTACAATAAGGACCACATCCATCAACAGCAGATGAGATGGTGTAAAAGTGGGAGGACACCTTTGTTTGGTTGTATTTGTAAAGCCTTCGGACTACTGATTCAAATGCACCTGGTACAGGCTTCCACAACCTTCATATTGCTTCGGACAATTTACAGGATATCTTTTTAAAATAAAATACATGTATTCTTCGGAGCACATTTTTAAAAAAGGCATTTTTAATGCCATAAATACAATGAAACTATAGTAAAACAGGGTCTTAAAAATATTCTGCTTCGAAGAATACATGTATAATTACGTCCTGAGCAAAATGTTCCTGCAAAAGTATTCGCGAATCTTCCTCGTTTGAGCTGCAGTAGGTGCATCCATGAAAGTGCCATATTTCCAGCCGAGATCGAGATCGCTCGGAGCCCGAAATTTGGCGGGGGTTGCCGGTACCCACTAATTAAAGTGGGGCCAATAGTCACAGCCTGTCACAGGTCATGTGATGTCATTGTTTTGCACTGAAGCAGGACCCCCCCCCCCCCGGGTTATCCCCTATAGAGGTCGATTCCAAAGTCCGGATAAATTGGACTCCCCAAGACCCAAATGTCGGTACAGAAGTCCAGACAATTGGCTTCTTGGCGTAGGTATGTTGGATTTTTTAATCCGGACAATGGGATCCTAGTCAAAATGGTTGGTGCAGAAGTCCAGACAATGCCCTAGCAAGGTGATGCCGCAGGATGCCAGGTGGTTCTCTCTTCCTTTTCTCTACTTTGTTTTGAATCTTCAGCTACATTTGTACCTTCAATATACTCAACAGACATGTAATTGGACAACAATGCCCATTACATAAGATTAGATATGAATCTTCGTTATAGAGCTACTTTGACTATACACATTCAAGTTTACTATCTCCATCTTCTCTCTCTCTCTCTCTCTTGCTTGCTACATTCACTGTTGCCATGGCTGATGTTCTGGAGCATTAAAACTCTGATTTTGACGTCGAGTTCACATGTACATAATTTTCCGAGTTTGTAGCAATTTTTGGTGATTTTTAAGAACTTTTAGAAATTTTTGAGAAGGTCAGTTCCAAAGTCTGGACAGAGAACAATTTGGTGCTGGTCAGATGTGAAATCCAGACGAATTTGGCACCTGGGGGTCGAGAAAAAGCGCGGACAATTTTTCAGAAAGGGTAAAATTTCTGTATCAACCTCTGTAGGGATAACCGGGGGTCCTACTGAGGCCTATCTTACTTACGATCTCACAGGTTCTGATACTATGAACCTTTTTAACATCCTCGACAATGCATCGAAACTGTAGATTTGACTTTTCGGTGCTCGATTGCTTTTGTTCGTCCAGGTTGGTGTTGACTCATTGGTATGGTTCAGCCCAAGTCGTTCATCGAACACCGCATATACTCCAACAGTGTGTACAGCTCTGAGATGAGGCTAGGTACTTGGTCACGAACCTGGTTTGCGAAAGCGATCAGCACTGGGCGCTGCACGCAGATGGTGTCCATAGGCTTTAAGCAAGGCTGCGACTATAGTAATGTGTAATACAATCAACGGCTACATGTACATATGTCGTATGACGCTAATTGTGTTGTCATTTCAACTTCAGTGAATCAGACAAAACTTAACCCAGGAGCCTGAGACAAAATAATTCTGGCCAAGTTCCAACTCACTGGCACAAAACATCTGGGTGGTTGTTTGAGAAACGGTAAATAACTCTACCAGTAAGAAACCTCCCAGGGAGGGTCAGTACAAAACGGTATCGAACCCCCTTGTAGGTTTCGTGTGCGGCTCTAGTTTCAATACAGAGTTTCCCGTTAGTAGTTACACCTGAGTCCTGACATGCAATAGTTATAAAAAAGGGGGTGAAAACTCATGTGATGCTGCCCCAGAGAGGCTCGAACTCTCGACCTTCCGATGAAGTAAGTACATCCTTTACGCGATTAGCGATAACAGTCGGACGCTGTAACCAACTCAGCCATGGGGCAACACTCAAACTGTGCCCTGTGAGCACTATATCGCCACTGGTAAATAGAACTTGCTTCGAGAGCTCATGTGTAATGTATGCTTGAAGGCTCTCTCGACGAGAAAATCCCGTATGCGATTGCCGATCCATAGACATCCGCGGAAGTAAAGTATAATGTCTATCATGGCCCGGGGAGCAAGCAGCTGGATTAGGCCTATGCAGTATCAGACTATCTGGAAGACCAAAAGGGCAATGATGCCCGTCTACAATGATTTCCTCGCAAAGCGCAAAATCTGCTCCCACGGAAGCAAACTGAAACAATTGCGGGGAAGTGCGGAGTCAAAGCGCAGGAGATCAGAGGGCCGCCGAAGCGCGACGACGGCTCGCCTGGCGCCATGACGCGACATACGCCAGCTTAGAATAATAGAGCTGCTACAATCTTGACCACAGTCGCACAACCATCAGTACGGCGACAATTAATACGCCAGGAAACCGTATGCCCCAGGGCGATGGTCGGGAAAAAGGTGTCAGGACGGGAAGAAGGGAGGAGCGATAAAACAATGAGCAGGCGGGGGGAAAGCGGCGGAGCTATTGTTGAGGGATTTTATTGTCCTTGTTTTTCGAGAAGCGCGTTGTCGCGAGGATCCGAGAAAGGCATGTGTTGAGGGGGCGTTGTTTGGCTGTTTGTCTGGAGCGTGGCTATTGTGCGCGGGGTTTTTGTTTGCCTAAAGAGTATAAGACTGGCCGGGCACGACGAGGAGGACCACAGCGAGCCAGTCTCCTTCCAGCATTCTTAACGGTGAGCAGCGTCCTTTTAGGGCTGGCGACGATACTGACGACGACGAGCAGACCTAGACATACCCAGCATACCCATACTTACTTATTCTGCATACCCCACGACCATCATGTCCCGCCCACGATCCTCGACAGTCTCCTCGTTCAGCGCCAGCATCACCACCTGGGCCTCGGCAGTGCACCCCGGCTCGCCAGCGCCGCTCTCGCCGGGGAGCGCCAACGCCGGGACCTTCCCCGACACGCCGGGCACGTGCAAATCGTCGTACACGCCGACGTCTGCGCACTACGCCAAATTCGACCTGACAAATCTCGGGTACACATCTGTGTTCGTGCACCTGCCCAAGACGCCGTCGACACCATCATATCTTAACAATAAGCCTAATCACACCCGCAACAATAAGAAAGACAATAAGCCCGATAATCACAATTGCCCCTCCTCCCATAAAGACGAAATCGAGCATGGGTCCTCCCAGCAGGCGAAGAAAACCCCCTTCTCGCTCCTCTCTCGATCTCGCACACGTTCCAGCTCGATGTCTGTCGCCGCAAAGTCGAAGAAGCACGCGCAGCAGCTGCCGCCGACGCTCATGAACGAGCTGATGCTGATGCAGTTCACCGGCGGGGGCAAGATGAGCACCCACATCACCCGCGTCATGGACGCCCAGACCAAGCAGCAGGGCGGCCTTCCCGTCGGCACCCGCGCCGATGTCTACCGCGACGGCACCGGCCGCGTCTGGTGGGACCGCGACGAGCATTTGGAGTACCAATGGCTCCTCCAGAAAGACGACCCCGATGACTCTGACTCGTCCGACTCTGAAGGCGAAGAAGCTCCCTCCCAGTGGGTCAAGTTTCGCACCGAGTCTCTTGACGCCCAGGTTCGCGCCTTTTCTCTCTTTATTTTTTCCATCCTCATTATCGCATCACAGAAAGTCAAACTCGCACCGATGACTCTGCAGCCCATCCTCACTGCCGACGGCAAGAAGAAGCGCCCCACACCGCTTAACCTTGCCCGGAAGGAGTTCCTCGAGCAGTCCTTCATGCCCCCGACGGCACCGCTCCCTCCCATCCCCGTATCCGCTGCTCGTCCCATCCCATCTACCCACGCCCACTCGCACACCCCGAAAAAGTCAAAGATGAGCATAAGGGGTTTCTTCCACAGGTCATAGACAACCCGGTACGTCCTTGCACCCTGCTTTTGGCCATCCCCACTTATCATTCTCTCTAGCGCTGGCCGTTGTACTACTTATATGCATCCACCGACCGTATGCATATCCGCTCTTTCAACATACATGTATTCTTATTCTGTTGCCCTACGTCAACACATCTGTAGCTTTATATCTATCTAATACTTACCCGTCCTATGTTTATGTACCTACAAAGTAGCTAGGGAGATCCATTGAATATATGCTTGATTAGAAATGCATGCCGCCGTGCTTGTAACCATGAAAGTGCATCGTATGTCGACGATTGCACGTTTCCCTTGACGGTCAAACCCGCGAGAAGTAACAAAATCAACGAGCTTGGATATCGTCGTATCACACCAGATTCAAATAAAGAACACATAGCCAGCAGCTAAAGTCAAAAGGGCATATAATGATAGTTACAAGTAGTCACTAATTACATATGCACTCTCTTACGACCATTCACCGATAAACAATAATATAAAGTGGACGTGCTTGGCTATTTTACAACAGCGTTGTTAATACCGACAGCACTTGCAATCTTTCCACAAAGAGAGCATGCAGTGGGACTGTCTTCTTCACACCAACCAGAGCTGACGATGTCACTTTTCTAGGGCAAACGGCAATCAAGCTCAGTGTGAAAGAACATGTTTCCGTCGCGACAGTCCAAGTAGAACCAGCCTACCCAGCACAGCCCAAGTTAACTTTTTCACGACACTCCTTCGCGGAATCCGTGAAAATATAGATCTCGACCATAGTAACCAGCGCCTACACAGTTGGAGTTTTCGCATCATTTCAAGTTCTCGAGTTCTTTCAAAACTCTCGGGTACTCACGGAGATACACAGGAGGACGAAACAAGGTAGCACGCTCACGAAATCTGCGTCTGGAACCATTCTACGAACCAATGGGGCTGTATTAACTTGACGTGCCCACCTGAATAATGGTATCATGAGGGTACTGAGTCCTGTTCGGTGGGGATATCACCATACGAGAAGTATATTCCACGGGAACAAGGAAATCGCACCAACAGAATGCGATGATGATTCAGAGACTACAAGGCAATATCATACCACCGAGGTCCCCCCTTGCAGTATACCAATGCCAGTCATACGTTCTAGAATGCCTTCCACAGCAAAATGGGAGGCAGCAGCGACCTTCGTCGGTATTTCGAGGCCCCCTTGAATCCGTTTAAGAGTATTTACACCGTAGTCAGTCCATCGAAAGGTGGAATCGAGAGATAACGACACAATCCTTGCGTCTCAGTGGGAGAAGCAAAATATTCTAGCAAAGCAGCTGTTCAGCAATATCAGTTGGGATACTTCCGCCAAGATGAGATTGAAGACCTCACTCCGAGTTCGAACGTGTATGCCAGTCTGACAGAAGGCATATTATCCGAGTCATATGGACGAACTACCGCTAACAGTCCGTCCGGAACGGTGCGATAATTGGAAAAAGGCATCATTACCCAGGCGAATGTGGGCTATTATATATAGCTGCCAGAGGGCCCGATCGCAGTGGTGAAGAAGATTTCTGCAAGACGACGAACACGAGCATGTCTGGTCAAGGACGTGCGAACCACAACACCCACATATCACCTCACTTGGCTTGAGAAAAAACTCCGCGACACGAATTGAACCGTTGTCACCGTCGAAAAATTCGCTGCCATTGCGAGGTCGTTCAAGTCGCGCCAATCCCATTGTCTGCTCATCGTCGTGCGCCTATCCGACACGAGTGACGAGTCGAAATTTGCCCTATCGAGGTCGAATTCGCGGGACTGTGGAGTTGCCGAGACGTCAAGGTAGAAGCCGAGGATTGTCGCTTCAGGGGTTGTGGAACTGGAAGCCGTGGGATTGTGCCGAAGCCGTGAGGAGGCCGAGCCGACAAGCTAGTACAGAAAGTCCCTTTGGGGCCCAGTCTCGGGAATTCCGCACAAAATCACGGTCTGAGATACAATTGACGAATGACAAGACAAACCTTTGCTCAATGTTCATTCCTCAAGCATGAATTATGACATATTAATTGCGATTCTTGATCATCGCAGGACCCAGGGGCCAGGTGATAGGTCCCTGCTATTAGCTTGAGTCTCGAATCTCGAATCTTGACTCAGTTAAGTTTTGACTGAAACGGAATTAAAAAGCCTATATATATTCTCGACATACTGCCCCAGAGAGGCTCGAACTCTCGACCTTCCGATTGACCCGTAACAGTCGGACGCTGTAACCAACTCAGCCATGGGGCAGATAGTCACTGTTGAGATTTCTTGACTGCCAATATCATTATTAGAAGCTTCCATACAGATCTCTCTGATGTAGCATTCAAGTTCAAGTCAAATTCAAGTTCATCCTTCAGCGCAGCTTACATGGCCTGACTTGCGACAAAGGAATAGCGAAGATGTACGGTACGAGATCATCATGTCTGCTTTGGTATCACTACACTGCCCAGTAGTATCGGATGTGAACGCGTTGGATCACTGGGTAATTTACCACTTCTAGCATGTCTGCTTCTTCTACTGTTCAGGTATATCTATGAACACGCCAAAATTCAACGGCACCACCTGGGTCTTCTCGCGGTCGAGGAACCCCACCTCGTCGGGTACGAGCACTCGCTCGTACTCTTCGTCCGTCGTGATCTACATTCCGAGTAGAGATTCGGATAGTAAGACCAGCCATCGGTATCTCAGGCTAGTAGAAATATGGACGTACCCTCAAGACTTTCTCGAACGACTCGCCTTCCATGATCACTATCCCGTCCCAATCGCACGTTGGGGCCCCCATTTGCTTGAGCAGGGCATTGGTTTCGTCGTTCACGTGCATCTGCATACATATGCATCTAGTCAGAGTGCCCCATTCTTTACACAAAGTCATGGAACGCACCTGATCGTACTTGAGGATGTTCTTTGACATGTCCGTGGATTTGAATAGCTCGGCGTGCAGGAGCCAGCGGCGCGTGAACTCCTCCTTTGAGATACCAGGCTTCCTCTTCAGAAATCCAACGACGCGGACGCGGGTCTGTGTGAGCTTGGGCGTTGGGCTGTTGGACATGTTGTTGCTGTGTTTGAATCAGCAGCGACGTCGCTCTTTATATTCTTGGGAACCGCTGTTGGCCCTTGCCACCGCCCATGCCTAGACAAATAATGTCCCGTTCCTTCGGGATATATGTGGTAACTTACAAACTGTGTCCCTTTCACCTCCCTCCCTACCCAGCCACCCGATATGGTGTTGCTGATTTTGAATCAGCGGCGATGTCGCTCTTTACATTCCTGGGGACCGCGTTGTCCGCCCACGCGATTACATACCAGGAAACCAAAGTCCTATTCCTTCGGGATATACGTGACAACTTACAAATCGCGTCCCTTTCACCGCCCCCAGCCGCCCGACAAGTTTGTAATCTTGGGGCCTGTATCATGTACTCCTAACAAGACATGGTGGTAAATTGGATGAGGCGAATTCTACAAATCTATCGTGAACTCTATCCAATGTCTCCATGTCCATTTCAATGCACGGTCATTACATGATAATAAGTACAGTACTTTATTATTCTTCTCTCGATTATCACCCAAAACCTAAACCAATGGTCAAGCGCGTCCAGCGGAACAATACCCTCGATTCCGACGCAGGTGAAGGTCGAACTAGATATACAACAAAGATAGCAGCAGAGGCGTTACATATTTCATGGCCTCCAGGACATGGAGGTTCTCATTTCGGGGGAGCGTGGCGGGGAATACGACGCCTGGTATGGCACTGTTTGCGGCATCTGGACAGGTCCAGGAGGAAACAACGGTACAGTCGGCACGAGTTCGAACACATGCTGTGCAACAGCTCGCGGCACCACCCTCGTCCCTTGCTGTTCGGTTGCATTCATCACGACATGGACTTGGGCTTCTTGCACCATGTCATCGTCAGCAGAACCATTCGCCGGAGGTGTCGTCACGGGATTCTGTAAATTAACTCCACGACCATCCCATATGCAACGAACATCGTTGCCCGGTATGATTTGCACGAGCCTGCCGGTCTCGAGGCGGCGAACTTCAATAAAGCGGCTATCGAACAGAAGGATGTACGGAAGATGCAGAGCAGCACGCTCAGCGGTACCCTCCCATTCAATAGTACCTGAAGATCGGCTGGGATCTCCGTGTTTATCGACGTAGAGTCCGAATTCTGCATCATGGGACACTTAGTCATGTTATACCCATGAAACGAGGCCGACGACCTACCATCATAGCACAGAAGGAACTCGTCATCAGCTGATCTGAACATTCCAATAGGACGACATGATTCGCCGCGCTTGGCGATTGCCGCCAACTTTGGGTCTTCGGAATGGGGAATTGTTGCACTCTTGAAACTGTATCAACTGTGAGCGTAGAACAATGATACCAATGAGAACGAACATACTCATGAAGATCCATGATCTCAAAGCCTTTTGTGCAAAGGATTGCGATCTTGGCTTTCAAGAAAATCAAATCAAACGATTCCGACGGTAGGAAGAAGTCCTGAGAAACAGCGTGAGAAGTCTCGCTAGTGGGAGAGGCACAATACGAACCCTATATATCCTGAACCATTCCGATTTTGCGGAGCGGAACCCAAGGCGGGACCCGAGGCCACCTGGAGTCTTCACCCGCTCATTGATCTTCTCCCCCACCGGTTCCAATACCCGGAAAATGCTGTTCAGCTAACCATATTTGTCGATGAGCATTAAAGGACAAGGAAGACAGTTGGAATGTGCGTACCGCTTTCTTCTTCATGTAGATGACTAATGTCCGACCATGAAGAGTCCCAACGCTGAAGAAATGAACGTCCTTATTTCCATTTAGCTTTTGTGGGACTTGGGAAGCATGCGCATTTTGAGGGGACGAAGGGACTAGCGCCTCGATATGGTAGGCAAAAAGAGACTATTTGAACCGTCAACCTTGAACCAGGATCAGCTAGCACAAACCAATACCTTGTCGGCCAAGACCAAGAACAGCCCGAATTCCTCTAGCATGGCGCATTGCGTGACCAGCTTGAGATGCAGAACACGGCGCATTGCTATTTCGAAACAATAAGTCTAGATTCAAACCCACCCAAGAAGTACATACATTTCGGATCATGCCTGAACCCAATCCATACACCTTCCGCACATCCAATGGCAACCAGTCCACGTCCATCTGCAGTGTCTTAAAGAGACACATCAGACCGAATCTCATCCGAATAAGACGCACTTACTGAACGGAACAGAACAAGTGACCTTGCCCGTAAACGAGTTCTCCTGGTTCCACGCAGGCGATGAAGTGGGTGCACCAACAATCGCAGGTACCAAAAATGTATCAGAACTCAACGTCTCGACCTCGAAGACCTTATTGGACTCCTGCACGACTTTGCGAATCACCAGAGCCTCTTCGAGTTTCTGCTTCCACTCCGTTCTCGCCGCCGCAGACTCGGCATAGAGGATGTACGGACCACCCATTCTACCATTGTGGTGCAGCGTCAACGGGTACACAGAACGAGAATCCGTGGTACTTTCTGGAGATGATACCCCGGGAGCATTAGGGCTTTCTACGTGTCGCTCCCCTCCTCTCAGGTTACGAAGTAACCCGGTACTGCGCTGGGTCGGCGGATCTGTGAAATTGACCAAGGTAAGAAGATCCAGGGGCGTAGGCTACGAAACAGTTAGGATGCAATTGGAGAGGGTGCTCTCGATATTTACCCTTCTATTCACATAGTACAACGTTACACCATCCCGTTCCTTCGGTTTCGTCAAAACGACTAATGGCGCAGTCAGTATACACCATCGAGTTTGTATGACAAACAAACGAACCGTAATTATCGAAAAGGAGAACAAACAATTCACTCCATCCATTCCACTCCAAGCCGCTATCAGGTTGCCGTAATAATTTACCCGAGTGTATTAGCGAACGATTCTCATCAAGAAGATCCATGTCCTAGATTACCGGTTACCACGATATACAATTGGAAATGGCATGAATTGACGTACGATTGATTCCCCGTGCTTAAAAACCAGATTGGAATTGTAGCGCCACAACTCTACTTTCTGCTTCGCGGATACAACGCCAGGTTCGGTGTCTTTGCCGATAGATTTGATGACCTCAAGGACTTGAGGTATCTCCTTTCGGTCATCGTGTCCGGGCGGCGTCTCGTCCAGGATACCTTTCAGCAGGAGTTCGTACCGAAGCAAACGGGGGATAGGTCGATTAATGAAGTTCTTCATGTCGAGACGATGAGCATCCGGATGACGAACGCATTGCTGATGGTATAGAATTGTTAAAAATGGGTCATATTGAACGAACGATGATCTTTACCTCCACAAAAGTCTTAAACGCGAGATTCTTGGCCATTTCGTCGTCAATCCTATACGCCGCGATAGGGTAATTAGGGATGTATTCCATATACGCATCCCTGAAATTCAGAGCAGCGTCGAACATAGCCGCAGTGACAGTCCGAATCACAGGGTGCTGCTCGCGCTGAATCTCGTGGAATTTCTCCACCAACTTTCGATGGTGGTACCCCAGTTCAGCAAAGTTGTGAAACACATCCTTGATGAAACTATTCAGTCTTTCGGGAGGAATGATCGGCGGGTTCGCGGCACGCAGTGCTTTGATGTACATCTATGGAAATAGGCTCAGGACCTGGAAAGAGATGGGGCTATTAAAATTTACAATGTCAATGTTCTCCAGATCCTTGACGTACGCCATCTCACCCTTGATGAGCTCAAAGATGATCCTAAAACGGAATTGAGCGAGGTGTACCGATGAAGAAGTCAGGACATACGATTGACGCTTCGCCTCCTCTTTTGGTAGACTTTTCCGTACCTCCGTCGAGACGAGATCATGCCACTCCCATTTGCCAGGTGTTCCCTTTCCCATAGCGGATTGAAAGGTCCTCAGCTGAGCCACAGTTTGCAAGCTCTTGATAGCCTCAATGGCTTCCATAAGGTAATCCGCATCAGGATTCCCAACAGCTGTCTCATGGTAAATGGCCTCCAAAAAGACTGGATATTTTTGCAGGTGCTCCGATGGCCGATTGAGGAAGTGTTTTAGGTCAAGACGTAGGTTGTCTCCGCCCTGTCTTGTTGTTTGCCTTGAACATTGCTACAACATACGATGAGCTAACATAGATGACAGCCACATTTCGCTCGTACCTCGAGGAACCGCCGGAATTCCGGGTTATTTTCGACCTCATCCTTAAGCCTCTTTTCTGCTAAGGGGTAATGTCCGATGTAGATGGGATAGGCCAGCCTGAACTC